CTACTACTACTACCACTACTACTACTACTACCACTACTACTACTACCACTACTACTACTACTAATAATAATAATAATAATAACAATATTAATAATAAAGTGAAAAAGCCGTCAAAGAATATTCATGAATCTGCAAACAAAGAAAACAACACCAAAAACACACAGATAATGGACCTGATCACTAGTTTAACAGCTGCTTTTTAAACATTGGGTCTGTTATGAGGGAATTGTGTTGCTATCTGCAGACTACACCTTTTCCATGTAGGTGTAAAACACATCCTCAGGGCTCACAGAACCGTCCTGCAGCTGCTTCGTCAATTCAGACAGTGACAGGGACAAGATGAGAGAGGAGTCCGTCGAAGGATGCTGGACATCACAAAAAACAAACTGAAGTTATTTTTAAAACAAAAACGCTCTCATACGCAGAGGTGGGGTAGCTGGTGACTATTCTACAGACTAAAATCAACTATACTTTTATAAAAAGTTGCAAAAAAATAAAATTCTTGCACTTTTGCCTATACTGCCTATGCTACAGACTGGCCCTGTTTTCCTGCTTCGTCACACGCCCGCGCATGCGCATTAGCGGCATGTATGCTGCTCTGYCAGAACACCGGAACCAATGAGTGATTGACAAATTCCTGCTAAACTACAGCAGGTAATTTAATTATTTGAATCAGGTGTGCCAAAAGCAGGGGAAAAGTTATATAAAAGGTGGATCAGAGGAACGGGGTTTAATGRAATAAAATGGCTACAGAGTACCTTAGAGCTCCTAAGGGGAGGGAGAAAAATTATTGCGTCACAAAGACAAATACTGTGCTGGGCTGTGTAAATAACATTGTATCAAAGCCATAAAACAGCTGACTTAGATTACTGGAATAAAAATAAAGTTGTTTCTTTTGCTGTGAAATTTTTTTAACAAGTCTGAACTGAATGAAGACAATTTATACAGAGTCACAGAAACTGTAAATCTGCTTTAATCAAACGCGAGTYAATTATCAGTTTAGTCCTCCCGACCCGGGGATCGAACCCTCACCGTCTGCCTGTAGCGGAGCACCGCCTGCTCCGCTCGCTGCAGGCTCTCCGTCCTCCGGCTCCTGGCTCTCTGGATCTTCGCCTTCGCCGCTTGACGACCGCTGACCGTCCGAACCAGAACCAGCAGAACTCCCAAACCGCAGGCAGCSGTCGTCAGCAGTGCCCCTGACCACTTGTCCATCTTCAAACCCCGAAGAAWTCCTCCCATCGCCCGTGTTTACCTCTTCAACCTTTGCAGTTAGCTAACTCGAGCTAGGACCGCACAGTGTGGAATGACCTGACGGCCGGTTGACCCTGACCTGTAGTCGAATGGGCGCGGTTAGTACACAGCATCATAAACKCTCATGTTGGTCCTCCTTCAACAGATGAACTTCCAAAGTTATGAGCAGGGATGACGAGTTTGCACAAAACAAGCGTGTTACTGGTGTTTGAACGTTAGGAGGCGCCAGAGAGCTGCTTTCAGCGGCAGGTCGTGCAGAAACTTGACTGGGGAAAATCAWTTATTGGARGACAACSGTAATGTCTTTAATCTGGAGGKATTTAATTGCAAGTATGGCATCGATTGTTTAAAGAAAAATTATGAAAAAGTAGTACGAAATATCCCTGAAGTGCTCATTCAATTAGTTAAAAATAATTTGTCAAATAGTTCATCTCCAAGACTACACAAAATTAAAATTGATTATGTGGACATTGTAGATAAAAAAATGCAATAGTAAGTTTTTAAGTCAATATTTAATAAACACTAATTACCCAGGAAAAACAAAAAACACACTCACCTTACAAAACTTTGACAGCTATCATTTCAAAAATTAGAACAAAATACTTAAAATTTCCAATTCCTCTTAAATATAAAGAAGTACATTTTAAAATTTTCAATATTTATCCCTCAAACGAATATATAAAAGATTTAAATTTAATGTAGAAAATAGTGTGTTCTGTAAAACGAATAAAGAAACAACCAAACGTTTGTTTTTTTGAGTGTTGTGATGAACAACAGTTATTTGGTTTATTTCTAGATGATGTGGAATTTCTTGTTTATAATGTAATCATTGTAGCAAAATTTTATAAACATAAATGTCAATTTGCAAAATGCTCTCCCTCATTC